GGGCAGGGGCGGCGCGGGGGGCGGCCCGGCCCGGCTTCCCCAGCGCCCCCTTGCCAGCTTTCCCGGGGGGAGAGTTCACATCCTCATCCTGATGCGCCCACCTGCCGGCACCCCCGTTCCTTAGCAACGGGAGGCGCAGGGCGGGAGGACCGGGACTGTCTCTTTGTCCTGGTTTGACAAAGCCCGGCTCTGGATTTGAGGGAGGACTGGGGTGTGTCTCATGGCTGGCTTGACAAAGCTGGGCTTCAGATGCGGGGGGAGCATAAGGATGTGTCTCAAGGTCCTGGTTTAACCAAGCCGGGCTCTGGACATGAGGGAAGGATGGGGATGTGTCTCATGGTCCTGGTTTGACAAAGACAGGCTCTGGACACAGCGGGAGGACGGGGATGTGTCTCATGGTCCCGATTGAACCAAGCTGGGCTCTGGATTTGGGGGGAGGACAGGATGTGTCTCAAGGTCCTGGTTTAACCAAGCCGGGCTCTGCCTTCCCCACAGCCAGAGGACCCTGCGCACTGGGAGCCCGAGCCCCCCTGTGCAGCCCAAGCGCCCGGGCGCTGCCGTGGCGGGGTCCGGGGGTCCCCTGCGAGTGGGGCCGAGCGCAGCCCTGCAGCCGGCTCAGCGGGGCTGGCACCGGTCGTGGATGGGGGCTCAGCGGGGCTGGCACCAGGCATGGACAGGGCTCAGCGGGACCGGCACCGGGCAGGCAGTGGGCAGGGGCCGTCCTGCGGCACCAAGGGCTGTGCCTGGCAGTGCAGCGTTGGGGCCTGGCTGCAGGATATGGGTCTGGCCACAGTGTGTGGGTCTGGTGGGCAGTGTGGGCCTGGCTGCAGTGTGTGGGTCTGGCTGCAGGATATGGGTCTGGCGTGCAGTGTGTGGGTCTGGGGTGCAGTGTGTGGGTCTGGCTGCAGCGCGGGGGCCTGGCTGCAGTGTGTGGGTCTGGCTGCAGGATATGGGTCTGGTGTGCAGTGTGTGGGTCCGGTGTGCAATGTGTGGGTCTGGCCACAGTGTGTGGGCCTGGCTGCAGCGTGTGGGTCTGGTGGGCAGTGTGGGCCTGGCTGCAGCGCGGGGGTCTGGCTCCAGCGTGTGGGTCTGGGCGCCGCTGCGCGCGGGGCCGGTGCAGGAGCGCGCGGGTAGCAGGGCGGTTGCACACACTGCGGTACGAGCAGCCCGGCACGTGCTGCGCTGCCGCTGCTGCTGCCGCTGCTGCTGCCGCCACCCCTGCTGCCGCTGCATGCGGGCGCACCCCAGCTGCGCCCTGCCCTGCCAGCCCGCGGGGCTGCACGAGAGCCCCCGATCCGGGCGCTCCTTTCACTACTGCAAGTGCCTGGTGCAACTCCCTCCATAACCCCCTTCCTACCCCCCTCCGCAACCCCCTCCGTAACCCCCTGGGTAACCCCCTCCGCCTTCCTTGGCAGGGAGGATTAGCATGTGAAGGGATGCAGCTCCCGGCTGGATTAGCATGTGAAGGGATGCAGCTCCCGGCTGGATTAGCATGTGAAGGGATGCAGCCCCTGGCTGGATTAGCATGTGAAGGGATGCAGCTCCTGGATTAGCATGTGAAGGGATGCAGCTCCCGACTGGATTAGCATGTGCAGGGAGGCAGCTCCTCGGTCCTGCCCTGCTGGGGCCACCCGCTTGTGCTTAAAGGCACCAAAGCCCTTATCAGATCATTAGTCCTGGTTCTGCTACTACCTTCACCCAGTGATGAACACCTGCAGGGCCTGGGTCTGGGCCCCTTCCAGCCCCAGATCCAGGGGCCCCTTCCAGCCCCACGCTCTGCTCCGGGGCCGCGGCCTCTCCGCGGGCGGCGCTCGCCGGGCACGGGCGGTCGCACGTGCCGGGGCTGCGGCTCCCCCACTCGCTCCCGGGATTTAAGGCAATCGTCTTCCGCCAGAATTAAAAGACACGACTCTGCATTTCTAGGTCTTCCCTGATATTTCACTGCGACTTGGCGCTGTGGTTTTGGGCATCCCTCTGCGCTCTCCACAGAAACATTTGGGTAGCTGCACAACCACGGGCTTCGTGCAATAAAACATGGAGACGTGGAGAAATCTGAGCAGAGCTACGTGAACGGCTTTAGAGGCGGCGGCTGCTGTCACGCAGTCATCCATTTGTGTGGTATTTTCAACACACCGCATGTCTTCCCAAAGCAGAGCTGCCTGTGCATATGTTCCTCAATATGCAAAAGCCTCTCCCCGCACGGAGCAATCCTTACATCCCTGCACGGAGCAACCCTCGTGTCCCCACACGGAGCAACCCTCATGTCCTCAGCACAGAGCAACCCTTGCATCCCTGTACGGAGCAACCCTCATGTCCCCGCACGGAGCACCCCGCACGGAGCAACCCTCATGTCCCCAGCGCAGAGCAATTCTTGCATCCCTGCATGGAGCAATCCTTGCATCCCCACACGGAGCAACTCTTGCATCCCTGCACAGAGCAACCCTTGCATCCCTGCACGGAGCAACCCTCGTGTCCTCAGCACAGAGCAACCCTTGCATCCCTGCACGGAGCAACCCTCGTGTCCTCGGCACAGAGCAACCCTTGCATCCCTGCACGGAGCAACCCTCGTGTCCTCGGCACAGAGCAACCCTTGCATCCCTACACAGAGCAACCCTTGCATCCCTGCACGGAGCAACCCTCTTGTTCCTGCACAGAGCAACCCTCGTGTCCTGGCATGGGGCAATCCTTGTGTCCCTGTGCGGAGCAACCCTCGTGTCTCCAGCACCACGGGATGCAGGATCCTCCGTCTGCAGCCGGGACAGGTCCAGACCCAGGGCACCCCTGGGACCCTGGGGCAGCCCTCGGAGCCCCGGGCAGCCCTTGGAGCCCCGGGCAGCCCTTGGAGCCCGGGGTAGCCCTGGGACCCTGGGGGAGCCCTTGGACCCTGGGGCAACCCTCGGAGCCCAGGGCAGCTCTCAGACCCCGGGGCAGCTCTCAGACCCCGGGGCAGCCCTCGGAGCCCGGGACAGCCCTCGGAGCCCAGGGCTGCCCTCCCTGCACGGGACCGGCCCCGCTGCCCCACGCCGGTGGCTCCTCCTGCCTCTGCCTGCCCTCATCCCCACACCGGCAGAGCCAGAGCCCGGGCAGAGGTTCCCAGAGCCGGGGGATCCCCTGTCTCCCCATGGGGACGTCCCGTTCCCACGGCACCTTTCAGGCACCTGCAGGTGACCCGGGTCGCACCTCAACCTCATGCCAAGAGCGGGTCCTGCCACGCGTGCACATGCGTGTGCACACGCGTGTGCAAGAGAGGCGGAGGAGGGGAACAGACGTCACTGCCAAAATCCATGACTCTTACCTTACCTGAGGGTGGGCTAACGCGCCCAATTAGTCCTGCTATGATTAGTTTGCCAATGAGGAAGTCAGAAATCCATGATAATAACTGTAATTCTTCCCATAGGACCTGGGTGGTGTTTCATCCAGATGACAAATCACAGAATCTCTGACAAAGCGGCTTATATTCTCGTTCGCTCTTTCTCTCTGTCCCTCTCTATATATAATTTCACCCACCAATCCTCACCTGCCAAGATTTCCTGCGATGATGTAGACCTTTAAATAAGAACAACCTACTGCTGCTCTTACCACAAGTTAATTCTGCAAAAAGAATACTTGATTCTTGCCATCACCTCTGAATTATTCCTCCTACAAAGTAAACCGGCAAGAAGCACTTGGAGCTGAGATTCAGAGCTAGTCAGAAGCACTAGGAAAATTCCCCAACGTGCTCGTTTTGGTCTCTGGGAACTCCAGCAGCACACACAGGGCCCCATGTGGGATTTTTAGAAATAATGGGTATATATTTGCTTAGCTCCCTCCTTCCCGCTTTGAGCCTTGTTTGAAGCCAGATTTGCAGCGTCTCGGGAGACCTCTTGCCGTTAAAGCTCCTCTGCAACCTGAATTCCCTGCTCCTGTTGCCATCCACACGCGCGGGCACCTCCACATCTCCAGGTTCACGAGGCTCCCTTCAATCTCAACCATTCTGGGGTTCTGGGATGGGGAAGCAGAGTGACACTGTGGGCGCTCCAAGAAACCGGCGGGAGGAGGAGGAAGAGGAGGAGGACGAGGAGGAGGACGAGGAGGAGGAGGAGGGTCATCCCGGATCTAAGACAGTGCCAAGCTGAACAAATCAATGACCAGTTTAGTTGTGTCGAAACACAACGGAAACTTTCAAAAGAGAAGCGACAGTAAGAAGTTAGTTAATTTTAAAATAGCAGAGTAAGGTTAAGCAAAATGGAAGAGCAAATGTAATTCTCATTTTTTAAAAAAGGAGGGAGGAAAGATCCAGGGAGTTATTAAGCGAGGTAATCGATCTTTAATTCCTGTGAAATCCTGGAACTAACAAACAGGGGGTTTTTAAAGCACCTAGAAGGAAGAGCTAAATAGCAGGCAGCAGGGGTTGGAAAGCACCAGCCGTGCCAAATGAACCTCACTTCTGCTCGACACAACAGGGACCCA